CTGTCGGTGCAGCTCCATGCCCTGCTGGCTCCCGAAGAGAAAGGGGCAGCCCCGGAAACAACAGGGCACAGGAACCACTTTGTGGGTCTGTCTCAGGTGGTGCTGCAGACCCTTACGATCTTCAGCAGAGAACACACAGCCAGACTCTGGGCAGGAGAAGGTGTCTGGGGGCCCCCAGTGAATCTTGAAGTGGCTCTTCAGGGCCTGGGGTTGGGCAAACTCCTGTCTACACACAGGGCATGGCAGGGGCCTCTCGGGTGGGCTGTGGCCCTGCAGAGGGCCAGACAGAGTGAGGTTGCTGAGGGGTAGCTCTACAGAGCATGGGGGACTAAGGAGGCCCTCCACAGGCTGTATAAGGGTTTCGGCACACTGGTGCAGGGCCAGCGAAGCGGGCTCTGCGAAGCTCTGCTCACAGCGCTCACAGAAGTACACCTCCACCACCTTTACCAGGACACCTGCAGGCAGAGGACCAACAGAGAAAGGCACAAGTCAGACAGAACGAGACTCACGGGAGTTAGTTACTAGCAGAAAATACAGGTGAATCTTTTTTTTAATATTCATGGGCTGGAGATGGACTTTAAGTCTGGTTCTGCACCTGGGCTGTAAGCCCCATGAGGGAAGAGACAGTCTACCTCTCACACATGTGTTTGGATTCCTTGTATCTAGAGCAATACTTGGCACAAATTAGGTACTTAATACTTGTTAAATGAACATAACAATGTTAATCAAATCCAGAAAGAATTAAGAAAAGGCAATATATTTTTCCCAAATAAAAAATTAGTAACTTCCAAAAGAAGAAAATGACAATTGGGAATGACATCTACAATAGAAACAGCAAAGGGATTTAATTTCACATTCTGTGAAGAGACTGTCATAGGGCCCTGGCTAGTGTGGCTCAGTGGATTGAGTGCCGGCCTGTGAACCAAAGGGTGGCCGGTTGGATTCCCGGTCGGGGCATGTGCCTGGGTTGCAGGCCAGGTGCCCTGTGGGGGTCACACGAGAAGCAACCACACGTTGATGCTTCCCTCTCTCTTTCTCTCTCCTTTCCCCTCTCTAAAAAAAACCCCCAAAATTAAAGAAAAAAAAGAGATTGTCATAGACATAGTAATTCATAAAACAGAGAACATCCTTTTTGAAAAAAATCAAATTATGTTCACAGTAATCAATGCCATTTCTTAAGCATCTGGCAGGGCCTTGATAAAGGCTTAGCAAACACTTTCTTGGCCCGCCACCTGCCCTGTGAGAAGAGGGACCTGGGATTCTGTGAGCTTAATGCTGCCGTGTTTGTCAGTGGTGGAGCCCTGACTCAGACCATGCGTGTCTCCCATTTATTCTGGTGGTCCTTCTTCTCTCTGTATTGTTGTTGAAAGAAAAACTCAAATAATACAGATATATTTTTTATTTTATTTTATTTTTTTAAAGATTGTATTTATTTTTAGAGAAAGGGGAAGAGAGGGAGAGAAGCATCAACGTGTCATTGCCTGTTGAGCACCCCACACCAGGGACCTGGCCCACAACCCAGGTATGTGCCCTGACTGGGAATCAAACCAGCGATCCTTTGGTTTGCAGGCCAGCACTCAATCCATTGAACCATACCAGCCATGGCTACAGATAAATTAAAAAAAAAAAAAATCCTACCTTCACAATTTGGTCTGTATCCTTTCAGGCTTTTGGTGTCATTTTTCTGCAATTTGCTTATTTTTTTCCTTGGTTATATAGCAAGAATATTTTTATCTATGAGTACATTTAAATCTATCTTATATTTTTTCGTCCAGTTCATAGTACTTCAGAGCATGGATAAATCAAAGTGACATTTTGCCCTTACTGATGGACATTTGGGTTGTTTCCAATCAGCACAAATAAAGCCCACACATGCTTCTCCCCCCTTCTCTGTGCATGAGTCTCCCTATAGGACAGATCCTGACGAGTGAAATTAGGGGTCGGAGTACACACACTGTAAATGTGTCATGTAGATAAAATTGGCCTTCAAAACATTATGCTAATTTATACTCTCCATAAGCTATAAAATAGTGTCTGTTTTCCCAAACCCTCACCAACACTAGGTATTATAAAAAACGCTCGACTTTTGCCAAAGTCAAAAAACAAAAATGGCATCTTGTAGTTATTTTTAATTGGAATTTATTTGTGTGTTAGTGAGGTGAAACATCTTTATGGTTATTGACTATTCTTATTTTTTTAGTAAAATTTCATGTAGATTTCTTCATCCCTGTTTTTTAAAAAAAATACTGTTTCTTCTTCTTATAGAGTTATTTAAATTTTAAAGACATTAACTCAATTCTTTCTTACTGCAAATGTTTTCCCCAGGCTTGTTTTTTATTTATTATTTTTTCCACCACATAAAAGTTTAGCAATATTAGGTGATCAAATGAACTACTCTTCCCAGTGCTCTCTGTAAACTGCCAAGGGGAGCTGTGGCAACTATAGCTAGAGGAGGGCAATGAAAAAAACAGAGAAGTTGCTTAAAATAAAAAGTTGTAGATGTGGGAAGAATAAAGGGGAGAATCGTTTCTTTTTACATAAGTGTAAATGCTCAACTCTCACTCTCAGCCGCACTCCTTGGATGAGTTAAGAATGTTTATACACAAGAAACCAGGGCAGGGAAATACCAGATTACTTCTGGGAAGCCCTGCTGAGCCCAGGGTGGTGGACAGAGATTGGGCCTTTTGCCTAATTCCTGGCTGCAGGAATTTCTGGGTGGGACGGTCAATATGGGGGAAAGAATCCCCAAGGACTATTGCTGTAAGGGTTGGGCGGAGGTGTCAAAAATGTCTTCCCTTCTGGACTACTGCCTAGCAGACACAATGCCTTCACGGAGAAGGGCTGCCGAGAGCTTGGTACAAGGTTGTGACCATCGTGCCAGCTTTCAGTCAACATTTACCAGCTGCAAATCAAATTACAACATCTCGCAGTACAAAAATAGGGCACTACCTTGGGTTCTCCTTCTACTCACACATAAGGATCAAAAATAGCAGACAAAACTTCAGGGCTGTTTGTCCCACTGGCCTGCTAGCTACTGTGTTCATACCTGGTGTCTCTCCAGGAGCACCTGGGGACAGGCTTCCAGCTACAGCTTCTACAATGATCTCCATGTTCCCTGTGTCCTCTTCTGTTGTCGTGGCCTCCACCAGCAGGCAGCCTGGGGCAGCAGGCAAAGGTGTGGGGTTCCCAGACGGACAGGGGCTGTGCACAGGCTCCAAGATTCCAGGGTCAGAGAGAGGTGGGGGGATCAGCAATAGCTCAGAGCATAGTCCATCCATCCCCTCAGTGCTGTTGGCTGGCTGTGAGTCCAGCATGGGGTCTGTCATCACCACCAACTTGTGCGCTGCGGTCTTTGAAGTGCTGATAAACTAACTAGAAGAAAAACCAAACAAAGTACAGTTAGATCTCTCACATTCTTCTCAGTTGCCGTGGGCGCACAGCCTAGTGCCTGCCCACTTAGGCAGCCATAACTAGTGAAGCTTGAAGTTTTCTTTTTATGACAACATCAAGAATAAAAATTATAATAAGGAGAGAGCCAACAAATTTTGGCCAGTATATTGAAGACTGCAGGTTATTTTTTTGGAGGTAACTGACCTTGGTCCAATCATTAAGCAATCTGGGTCTGTGTTCTTATCTGTAACAAAATTGGATGGGGCCAAGAGATCTCAGAGGTACCTTCCCCCTTTTTTATGATCTCACTATTTCTTAGCATGCGTATAAGACCCTTCCTTCATGGTGTGGCCCCTGCTAACTTCTCCAGACTCTTCTTCCACCTCTCCCCTCAACAGATCCCTGAGCCAGTCATACCTCATTCCCCAGGCTCGCCACATTCTATTTTGCTTCCATACTCTCACACATGCTTGTATCCATTTGCCTCTGTCTCTGGGCTTGATGGGCCTTTTCCCTTCCTCTATCTTTCTTGTCTGGCTAATCAATTCCTAACTATCCTTTAAGAATCTGCATACATATCCTTTCTTCTATGAAAGCTTCCTGACAAATTAAGGCAGAGAGAAGGGCTGGGGAATGAATGAAACCTGGCCTGGGTACTAAGGCACCCCGTTTCCAACTGTCTGTGGGCTCTGACTCACTGCGCAGGTATGGGCAGTAACCTCGCTTCTCTGGGTCTCAGCTTTCTTATCTGTGAAGCGGAAGCGATGACAGCGTCCACATCATTGGGCGGGAGCGGGAATCACAAGAGCCAGAGAATGGAAAAGTCGATTTGTAACCTGCAAGGCTTGGGATGGAGAATTGTGAAAATTATGGTCCTGAGTAGAGGCAGCGGGTAAGCGGACGGGGTCCAAAACAGTGACGCGACTGAGGCACCGGGGCGGCAACGTGATACGCTGGGGTCCCGTTCGTAGGGGGTTCCCACCTCCCAGGCCCACCCTGATTCTAGGGCACGAGAAACTTTTGCCGCCAGCCGCTCCTCCCGCACTCCCTACTAGTTCCCGCCCGGCAGCCGCTCACTCACCTCCCGGCCCGGGGCCGGCGGGAGCCGCATCTCTTTAGTCTACCAGAAGCTGGAGCCACCTCCCTGAGTACCCTTTGTGCGACCGCCTCCGGCCCAGCGGCCCCTAAAGCTGCGGGCCTACGGAGGCCACTCTCTCTTCCTCTTGGAGGCGGGAGGAGTACTCTATGGTTCATTCTTGCGTTCCCGCCCCCCCCCCACCCACCCCAGACAGGAAGCCCGAGGAATACCATCGAGAGGCGTGGAGCAGAGTGGCAGGGCCTTCTCAGCGGGCGTGGCGGGAAGTAGAGGGAAAAGCTCGGGGGTGGAGCCAAGCGGCCCGTCCCACGTGTGCGAAGGGCTAAACCATTGAGAGGGAGGGCCAGAGAGTCTTGGCGGTAAGGGGATGGAGAGACGGGTTGTTCCAAACCACGCTGGCAGAGGCGCGAGGAGGGGTGTGGGGGGGTTCGCGAGGGGGCTCCCAGGCGCCCTACAAGGGTCCGGAGAGGGAAGGGCTTTGTCTGTGGCCTTCCACGCGTAGGTATTTTGGAATTCTGTATCCAGCTCTGAGCCTCGGTGGAGGTCACTGCTGTCAGTTCAGCGCCCTGCGCGCCAGCCTCCGAGCAAAGTGGCAGTGGATGGGGGAGGTGTACGAGAAATCAGCTGGCTTTCTACCCCTTGAGATCTTACAGTCTAGAATTAGACTCGGTCACCTTTTTTGCGTGTGTGAAAGAATTATGAAAAATCTCCATGGAAGTAGCAAATGGGCAGGACTTTCAATTGGAGAGAATAAATTAGAATGGGCTTCCGAGTGGAGAGAACTGTTTGAGCCAGGACATGGTTTGCACATTCGTTCAACAGGGAGTTGTAGGAGCTAAGCTGTGAAACAGAGGTGGAGGGCTTTCAGCACCAGGCAGAGGTCTGCTGAGACCTCTGGGGTCTGTTGAGAGGTTTGGAGTAGAGAGAGAAATAGGATTGAAGCGGATCTTTATGAAGAATGACCTAGACTCTTGTGTAACAGCAGTTTGGTGGAGCAGGAGGTGGAGACTCCCATTCAAATGCCATTTCAAGAACTAAAGTTAATTTTAAAGAGACAGATGGGAGGTATTGAAGGGTTAAAGAAGGACATCAGGAACTGAGCGTGTAAAGGAGAGGATATTTGAAGGTCATTACTCATGGTAACAAGGCATGACAGTTACAAGAGATCAATGGAAGAGAATGGCTTCATCCTCTGCTATCTGGCCAGTGTGCCCCTTTGTATTTCAGCTGGTCCCAGGTACCACAGAAATTCTGCCCATCTGTTCTCCTGTTGCGAAGCCGGTTACACTGTTCTCAGGATTAAGAGAACATAGTTCTCTGGCAGGAAACTGAAATGTGAACAGGATAACGGAGGGCAAAATGGGACAAGAAGTCTGGAGTCCCAGGCCCTGAATTCCAACAGCATGGCCACCCCGCAAAGGGATGGTATTGAAGCATGCAGTAGCTGGCCTTTCCTGCTCATCTTCTGCAAGAGGAAAGGGGTGGGGAGAGGAGGGATCGAAGAGTCCAGTTTATAAACTAATCTCGTTTTTTTTTCCCCCCATTTCCACTGCTCCCCACCCCCAGGTTTTGAAAATGCCTCAGGTCTTGTAAGGTTCTTTGTTTCCCTTTCAAGATGCCCCTCTCAGACTTTGTCCTGGCCCTGAAGGACAACCCCTACTTTGGGGCTGGATTTGGCCTGGTAGGTGTGGGTACAGCCCTGGCCTTGGCCCGGAAGGGTGCCCAGCTGGGCCTGGTGGCATTCCGGCGCCATTACATGATCACACTGGAAGTCCCTGCTCGGGACAGGAGCTATGCCTGGTTGCTTAGCTGGCTCACCCGCCACAGTACCCGGACCCAGCACCTCAGTGTTGAGACCTCGTATCTTCAGCATGAAAGTGGCCGCATCTCCACTAAGTTTGAATTTGTCCCCAGCCCTGGAAACCACTTTATCTGGTAAGGTTGGGGCCAGGGAGGGTTCTGAGAGCAGAAAAGGAGAATGAGAGGAGCTGGGTTTGACCCATTCATTCACCCCATTTTGACCATTCTTACTCAGGTATCAGGGGAAATGGATCCGAGTGGAGCGAAGCCGAGAAATGCAGATGATAGACCTGCAGACGGGTACTCCTTGGGAATCTGTTACCTTCACAGCTCTGGGCACTGACCGCAAGGTTTTCTTCAACATCCTGGAGGAAGGTGTGGGACGATGACACAGGCAGGCTCCACGGGGAGTTGCGGGGATGGGGGCATTTGACATCAGAGGATGAGAAGCTCGGAAGAGCCCATGGGAGCAGGGGGCGAGGGTTAGCTGTTTTGGCAAAGCTCTGTCTTACATGCACAGCAGAGAAGAACATTGGTTTTGTCTCTCTCCTCCTTCCTAGCTCGAGAGCTAGCCTTGCAGCAGGAGGAAGGGAAGACCTTGATGTACACAGCCATGGGCTCCGAATGGCGACCCTTTGGGTATCCACGCCGGCGGCGGCCACTGAATTCTGTGGTTCTAGAACAGGGTCTGGCTGAGCGAATTATCAGAGATGTCCGGGAATTCATTGATAACCCCAAGTGGTACACTGACAGAGGTGAGAAGCAGCTGGGGTCTTGGCCAGGCTGTTTTTGATGCGGCGGTAGAGCAGGAGGAAGCAGGCTAGTTTCTGTGGCCAGGTGGGGTGGCTCCAATTCCAGTACAGCTCCAGCCCAATTCCCAGCGATGAAGAGGAAAGAACAGTTGCCTACGGGGATGATTCCTCCCAATAGCAAGGTCTGGGCCTCCTGGGAGCAGGGCTGGGAATGCATGTGTACATCTGGGGCAGAGTACACAATTGACCTTAGGTCTTGACAGTCATCCTTGCTGTATTGCCAGGCATTCCCTACAGACGTGGCTACCTGCTTCATGGGCCCCCTGGTTGTGGAAAGAGCAGTTTTATGTGAGTAGAGTCAACGTTTCTCTTAACCGTCAAACTGGAGAAAAACTGGGTTGATGGGATTGGAAAGAGAAATAAACGTGGGGAACAGGGACCAGGATAAACATAAGACATGGAGAACATTGGGGTGGGGTGGTGGAAGGGCTGGGCCTGAGACACACCTAGTATAGTGAGGAATGAGCAGTTGGATTCAAGGACAAATGCCCAGATCGCCAACTACCTGCGCTCCCATCCTCCATAGCACAGCCCTGGCTGGGGAGCTGGAGCACAGCATCTGCCTGCTGAGCCTCACAGACTCCAGCCTGTCCGATGACCGGCTCAACCACCTGCTGAGTGCAGCCCCGCAGCAGAGCCTGGTGCTCCTGGAGGACGTGGATGCTGCCTTTCTCAGTCGAGACCTGTCTGTGCAGGGTAAGAGGAGTTGAGGGAAAGGGTATTTCTAAATGAGGAACAGTAGAAGAAGGTAGAAATCCAGAGGGTTAATGGATTTCTGGGTTAGCAACAAGAGCCCAGAAGAGGCACAGATAAGTAGAGGGATATGGTAGGGAATGGAAGGGGCTTGCTTTAAGTAAGGCTACAACCGACTACTTGTACTTCTTTATCTGCCTTTGTCCAGACCCAGTAAAGTACCAAGGTCTAGGTCGTCTCACCTTCAGTGGGTTGCTCAATGCCTTGGATGGTGTGGCTTCCACTGAGGCCCGCATTGTGTTCATGACTACCAACCACGTTGACAGGTAGGAAGGAGTGAGGCACTCAGACTGCGAGGCCAAACTCCTCCAGCTCTACTCCTTGGGAGGACCAATGGTAGTACTGCCCATGACTCTGCTTTGCTGCCTTCTTTTAGATTGGACCCTGCCCTGATACGCCCAGGGCGAGTAGACCTGAAGGAGTATGTGGGCTACTGCTCACAGTGGCAGCTGGCCCAGATGTTCCAGAGGTTCTATCCAGGGCAAGCACCTTCATTGGCAGAGACCTTTGCAGAGTGTGTCCTTCAAGCCACAACACAGATCAGTCCTGCCCAGGTGCAGGGCTACTTTATGATGTATAAAAATGACCCTAATGGTGCAATTCACAATGCTGAGTCCCTGAGGAGGTGACAGCTAGGCTGTGCTCAGCTCTCCTCAAGGGGATCAATAAACGCCTGTCACCCTACTCTGGTCTGATTTCCCTGTATTGGTACTTCATTGAAAAGCCTGAGCTGCAATGAGGTGCCTACAGGGGCCCTCAAGCATCCACACATACAGGTGTTATCGGCACAGTCTAAGACAGAGGAAAGGGGACTATAGTGAACAGAAAAGCAGTCCTCCACCCAAAGGCATTCCACAATACACACACACACGTACGTATACATAATGTGGGAATATATGCAGTGTGTTACAGGGCGGGGTGGTTCCTACAGATTCTCCTTAAATACTGGCATTCACTGGTTTCCCCTGACACCCACTACACTAGAGATGTCAGACCCCTCTTTACCTAGATCGTAATCTCATGAGATAACTGATTTTAGGACAAAGTTGGGGTTACTTTGCCACACTCCAGGCTTGCAAGTAATTTAGAAAGACACCCATACCTCACAGGCTTGGTGCTACTGAGCAAAGAAAGCCAAACAAGGCCAAATTCCTTTATTGTCCCCCTCCTACCCCCATTCCCCTCCCCCCACAGTACTGCTAGGAACCATCCTCAGATTCCAGGCTCAAGGGTTCCCTTCGAGTACCAGGAGGGTAGGCTCCCCGACCCCGACGCAAGCGGGGGTAAGAAGAACCTGGTGTCCGACTTTTGGGGCGCCCCCAGCGAGCATAGTCCCCAGTCCGGTGGGGTGGGGGACCTTCAACCCCTTGGTGATCGGGTTCTTCTGGTTTTAGGTCCATGGGCTCCTTGGGGGGCTTCTCAGGAGGCAGTACTTCCTGAGTGTCACTGGTGCCTTTGGGGGCACTGTACTCCCCTCCCTTTAGGTGCCTCCGTTCAGGCTGTCTCCAGGGGCCTCGACTGGCCCGGGGGCGACCTAGGATAGCTTTCTGGCTCTCGCCCAACCTTTGCTGATTTGGCCCAGTCCCTGGAATCCTCTCGAACATGTACTGGGAGGCCACAGGCAGAAGTGACTGGGGTGGTTGGGCAGTTGACGAAGTGGACAGTTCTGTGGCAAGAGCACTGGGTGGTTGGGAGCCTCTGGAGGCATCTACAGCTGACTCAGGTTCCAAAGGGGCAGGAGGCTAGAAAGAAGTGAGCAGATGCAGTGAAGATTCAGCTTCTCAATGCAGGGAACTACAGCCTCTCGCCCACTAAATGAACCAACCACGACCAGCCTATTACCTCCCTGGGTAGAACAAACTCACCCTTGGGCCATGGCAGAGGGGTGCTGGTAGGAAGGTTGGTGTCATTAGGGAAGGAGTGGAAAACCCTTTCCTCACCTGCTGGAGGCTGATAAAGTACCGGTTTCGCTCAGCCTCAAGATCAATGATGCCTCCCCTCTCCTGCTGCCTCTTGTAGAGCCGCCTGAGCTCTTCTTGCTGGCGCAAGCTCTCTGTGTTGGGCTGGTATGGCTCCTGGAGGGAAGGGAGCAGATTGGCAGGCAGGAAAGAACAAACTGAAGGTAGACCTGAGTCCCTGATTTTCTGGGACTGCCTCAGGAGATCTGTACAAGGTTCTTGGCTTCATTCCCTCAGGTTTGGGCTCCTGAATGAAGCCTTGGGCTCCCTGTGGGGACTGGCTTTGCACAGGTCCCAGGTTGAGCCCAGTTGCAGATCCCATTCAAGGCAAACAAGATGCCATTCCTCCCTCCTTGGAGAATACCGTTATTCTTGGCTCAGGTTAGAGCATAATTCCCTTACCATGGGCTGTTGGGGTTCAGGGGCTGCTTTCAGTGAGGCAAGATCATACACGAGGGGCTCTCTGCAAACTGGACATTGCACACCGACCGCTTTCTAAAAAGAGAAAAATCACACCATGGTTTCATGGCCCAGGGTGACCACCAGCTGCCCAACCCAGTCAACCAGCCTAATCGGCTGAGGGGCACGGAGAGGCACGGGCATGCCTGTCCAGCAGTGAGGTGGGACACAGAAAGGTTGTCTAGCTAGAGGTCTGGAACCCTCTGAAATCGCATCCGGTGTGATAACATGTACACAAGGATGCTTTTTCTAGATATGTGAGTGTTCATTAATCTCAAAGGTATCTATGATTACAGAAGGTTAAGAGCCCCTGGAGTGGAGGGAGCAGGAAGGCGGTGAGATGGCAGTGTCCAATGTGAGCAGCAGCTGGTGGGCTGACCTGTTTGGTTGCAGCATGCTGCCGTTCCTCTTCCTGTCCTTGAGCCTGCAGCTCCCGCTCCATGTGCTGGATGTACCGAGCAAGACAGTGGCAGTGGAAGTAGTGGTAACAGGATGTCTTGGTAAAGGCTTCATTCTCCTAGAAGGAGCACAGACGTGGGGCACTGCGTCACAGCTCTCTCACAAGCCCTCTACTGCCCACCCCAAGCAGACCCCAAGCCCCAGAGACACCCACCTGGAAACCATAGAGGCAAATGACGCACTGGCCATGAGGGATGTTGTTATCTGTGAGAATTTCCTTCCCTTTCTGAGAGGAGAGAAGACACTGTTCAAACAGGGAGGTGGCAGCAAGACCTATGAACAAAACCGGTCTACGATCCCCAGGAGGGGCTGGACTGTCTCCCACCAGGCCCGGCTACTGCCTCATGTTCATGCATTTGTCTTGGTGACCCTCCCTCTGCTTGGAATTAATCCTGCTCTTTAGTCCCTACTCTTACCCCCAAATCTGTCTGGCTTCAAAAATCTAATTTAATTGTTTTCCACTCATTTAGTCACCTCTAATAGCTCTTGGGGATGAAAATAATATACATTAGAGAGAAAAAAGTATTCAATTAAAACATATCTTCTGGGAGGCCATTCTTGGTTAACTATCTTTGAATGTCACTGCCCCAGTGAGTCTCTTCTGGAGTAGACTTTCAGAAAGAAGGTCAAGGTAAGGACGAGCCAAAGGAACAGAGAATTCAAGCGGCATCAAGTTGAGCTATCAAATAAACGTGCACTTGCACCGATATTTCAATAACTACCACGCCGGAATTCCAGAGTTCAAAACTACATGGCGGGGGGCCTCACTGACTCAGGAGCATGGCAGTGGCCTATGCACGTTCTCTGATGCCAGGCCGCTCTCCTGTATTTTTTTAATGTTCCTCTAAAAAACTCAAAGTAGAGGAAAACCAGACTGTACTTAATTGTGTTTTTAACCTCAAACTGGAAAAGTGGTCTGTCAGTATTAACTTGTAGTTCCAGGTGTTGCTTCACGTAGGTCGTTTCCTTCCCTGGGCTAGAAACTCAGTGCAGGACCTTGACTCTTTCCACTCAGCTCTAACGGCAGACTAGCCTTCCAATGTTCATTTATGGCGAACACTCTCAGGGCATCCGTTCCTTGCTACTTTCAGTTGCCAGTGCCAAGAGAACAAGGAAGCAAACTGAAGCAGGAAAAATGCAAGTTTAAGAAGAAATGTAATTTTCTAACAAGATGCTGAAATAGGCAACCTGGCAAAGCCACAGAACTGTCTGTCTTCTGGGGAGATTTTTGGAAACAGAAGAGTCTCATCTTCCTGGATTTAGACCTTAACCTAAACAAGGACTAAGTAAACAGATATATTCATGATTTGAGGCCCATGGCTTCCCTTGAAAGACGCTGCTCTAGTTGAAGGGAAGGACCTCTCCCCGGGCCAGAACACCTCTTACCTCGATGAGTTCATAGAGCATGGCAGTGCCCAGCCCAGCCGTGGCCACCTGGCTTAGTGCCTGTGAGATCCTGGAGGAAAAAGGCAAACCAAACATTAGGCCTGCCCCCGTCCCGCCCTACATTGAGCTGCATCTTGAGTTTTCCCTGCTCTGACCAGCCCACTTACTTGTGGATTTGTTCATCTGAGAGTCCTCGGGGGTTTCGGATAGAGATCTGTGGCACCTCACTGGGATACTAGTAGGACAAAACCACAGGTTACCACTAAGTCACTCCACCCTAGGGCCTGTCCCCTTCTACCCTGGTCCCATTCCACCCTTTGGTGCCATAAGGAAGGGGCCTCACCTGTGCTGGGACCTGTAGCACCAGAGTAAAGCAGACATACTGCGAATCCTGGTCCTCTGCAGTGGCAGGGTGCAGGGTGATGTAGACCTCCCATGGTGAAGATCTGCAGGTGAATGAAGTGGAGACCTGGGATGTGACTGGGCTGGGGCTGGAGGGCTGGGGAGGGCGGGGGCGAGACAGTAAAGTGGACAAAGCAAGTAAGCATTGGGCTCGCTCTTTTTTGGGGGAGGGGGGTGGTGGAATAAAAGGAACAGAGTCTTTATCTTCATGAGAGAAACATCTCTGAATCAAGGCTCATAGATCCTGCATGGAATCCTCTCATTCCTAAGGGACTCATGACCACCTCTAGTTGAATACATACCTGCCATTTCCTTTAACCACCTGTAGTTCATCCAGATAGATAGATTCTAACACCTCAATTTCAGAGGGAAGGACCCTAGAGAGACAGAGTTTTAGAGGTCATTTCCGCCAACAGGTGAGGAAACAACCCCAGGAAGGTGAAAGACTAGCCCAGGCCTCAAGGCTTAATAGAGGCAGAACTCAGAGGGAGCCTGGTTTCCGGGCTCCGTGTTTAAGTCTCACTGCGCTACTGATTATTCCTTAGCGGCCATCTCTCTGACCCAGAAATGTGATGTTCATTGATTAACACCAAGGTTACCAATGCCACTCTTGGCTTCCCCTGCACTATTGTTCATGTGGATCCCATATCTATATACACTGCTAATACCAGTCACCTTAAAGCTTCTCAAAGGACACATCAACCTCAACAGACCCAGGTGGTATAGAAGCTGTGGTGTAGTGGAAGAGCCATCAGCCTCAGAGTTGGTACCAATTACTTAGCAGCCATGTGGCCTGAGTAGTGACTTATGTCTGTAAGCCTAGTTACCCTGTCTCACATGTACAGCTAACACCACCTCCTCCCTAAGGTTACTGTGAAAATGAAAGGAATTTGTTTATGGAAGGTACCTAAGAGTATCTTGGCCTCAGTAGCTAGACTATGTCCTCTTTTTCCTATTCGTATGTAACCTTTTCCCTTAAAAGGAAGAAAGAATGTAGTTAGTATCCGATGTATTTATTATCCTGT